AGATGTGCCTCACCGCGCACCTGGTTTCATGGCGCCCGGCATGTGGAGAAGACCAGACGCGTTGATGAGGAGGTCGAGGTGCCCCCACGTGGCTGACACATGCCGTGCTGCATCCTGTTGTGACGTCCCTGCGCCATCCCATGAAAACACGCATCCCATGCAAGCGTGCACGCCATCCCATGCAAGCGTGCACGCCATCCCATGCAAGCGTGCATGCCATCCCATGCAAGCGTGCACGCCATCCCATGCAAGCGTGCATGCCATCCCATGCAAGCGTGCATGCCATCCCATGCAAGCGTGCATGCCATCCCATGCAAGCGTGCATGCCATCCCATGCAAGCGTGCATGCCATCCCATGCAAGCGTGCATGCCATCCCATGCAAGCGTGCATGCCATCCCATGCAAGCGTGCATGCCATCCCATGCAAGCGTGCATGCCATCCCATGCAAGCGTGCATGCCATCCCATGCAAGCGTGCATGCCATCCCATGCAAGCGTGCATGCCATCCCATGCAAGCGTGCACGCCATCCCATGCAAGCGTGCATGCCATCCCATGCAAGCGTGCACGCCATCCCATGCAAGCGTGCATGCCATCCCATGCAAGCGTGCATGCCATCCCATGCAAGCGTGCATGCCATCCCATGCAAGCGTGCATGCCATCCCATGCAAGCGTGCACGCCATCCCATGCAAGCGTGCATGCCATCCCATGCAAGCGTGCATGCCATCCCATGCAAGCGTGCACGCCATCCCATGCAAGCGTGCATGCCATCCCATGCAAGCGTGCATGCCATCCCATGCAAGCGTGCATGCCATCCCATGCAAGCGTGCACGCCATCCCATGCAAGCGTGCATGCCATCCCATGCAAGCGTGCATGCCATCCCATGCAAGCGTGCATGCCATCCCATGCAAGCGTGCATGCCATCCCATGCAAGCGTGCATGCCATCCCATGCAAGCGTGCATGCCATCCCATGCAAGCGTGCATGCCATCCCATGCAAGCGTGCATGCCATCCCATGCAAGCGTGCATGCCATCCCATGCAAGCGTGCATGCCATCCCATGCAAGCGTGCATGCCATCCCATGCAAGCGTGCATGCCATCCCATGCAAGCGTGCATGCCATCCCATGCAAGCGTGCATGCCATCCCATGCAAGCGTGCATGCCATCCCATGCAAGCGTGCATGCCATCCCATGCAAGCGTGCATGCCATCCCATGCAAGCGTGCATGCCATCCCATGCAAGCGTGCATGCCATCCCATGCAAGCGTGCATGCCATCCCATGCAAGCGTGCATGCCATCCCATGCAAGCGTGCATGCCATCCCATGCAAGCGTGCATGCCATCCCATGCAAGCGTGCATGCCATCCCATGCAAGCGTGCATGCCATCCCATGCAAGCGTGCATGCCATCCCATGCAAGCGTGCATGCCATCCCATGCAAGCGTGCATGCCATCCCATGCAAGCGTGCATGCCATCCCATGCAAGCGTGCATGCCATCCCATGCAAGCGTGCATGCCATCCCATGCAAGCGTGCATGCCATCCCATGCAAGCGTGCATGCCATCCCATGCAAGCGTGCATGCCATCATGGCATTTACGAGACATGAACACCATACACCATGCACCGTGCCATGTACCCGCCATGCCAATCATATACATTGAAATAACAAATTTGGATTAGACCACGATACAATGCCGGTGTAAGTGTATTGTAGCCCGAGAGACACAACTCTTGCACAGCGTCTATCCCCCCAAAAGGCGCCTCGTCTCTCACCCTTCCCTAGAGACACCGTGTCTTTCACCCACCCCAACACACACCGCGTCTCTAACACACCCCAACACACACCGCGTCTCTAACACACCCCAACACACACCGCGTCTCTAACACACCCCAACACACACCGCGTCTCTAACACACCCCAACACACACCGCGTCTCTAACACACCCCAACACACACCGCGTCTCTAACACACCCCAACACACACCGCGTCTCTAACACACCCCAACACACACCGCGTCTCTAACACACCCCAACACACACCGCGTCTCTAACACACCCCAACACACACCGCGTCTCTAACACAGCCCAACATACACCGCGTCTCTAACACAGCCCAACATACACCGCGTCTCTAACACACCTGCGTCTCTAACACACCCCAACACACACCGCGTCTCTAACACACCCCAACACACACCGCGTCTCTAACACACCCCAACACACACCGCGTCTCTAACACACCCCAACACACACCGCGTCTCTAACACAGCCCAACACACACCGCGTCTCTAACACACCCCAACACACACCGCGTCTCTAACACACCCGCGTCTCTAACACACCAGCGTCTCTAACACACCCGCGTCTCTAACACACCAGCGTCTCTAACACACCCGCGTCTCTAACACACCAGCGTCTCTAACACACCCGCGTCTCTAACACACCAGCGTCTCTAACACACCCGCGTCTCTAACACACCAGCGTCTCTAACACACCCGCGTCTCTAACACACCCGCGTCTCTAACACACCCCAATATACGCCTCACCTCTCACCCACCTCGATCCACGCCTCGTCTCTCACGCACCTCGATGGTTGCCTCATCGGTCACGTCCAGGGGGAGAACAGTCAGCCGATCCCCGCTTCTACTCTGGAGCTCCTGTAGCGCCGCTGCTGCTGCAGGATTGCGACACGTGGCAATGACGTGGCTGTCAGGGTTCCTCTGGAGCAGCTGCCGAACCTGGCAACCAACGGTCGAATGTGCGATGAATGAATGAGCCAATGGGTATGGGCCACCATCGTGCATGTCAGAGGAGATTCCAGTGCTTTGACCTCACGGTCCCTCAGGGAATCTCTCCCAGCCTGGCAATCCCAGGGAAAGGCGAACTCTCTCAGCTGTTCGACTGGTATGACCCTTAAGCTGTCAAATGTTCCAATACTGATTATGCAAGGAATATACAAAAAAAATACACGTTCTTCACAATTTAGGGTGGGGGTGTGGAAGGGAAAGAGGGGGGGGGGGGGGGGGGGGGGGGGGGGGGGGGGGGGGAGGAGAGGGGGGAGGGGGAGGGGGGGGGAGGGAGGGGGGAGGAGAGAGGGGGGAGGGAGAGAAGGGGGAAAGAGGAAGGGGGGAGATGGGAAGGAGGAGAAGAAAGTGACATTGTACCACAAAAAAGGTAGAAAATAACAGAGCAGCAGTGCAAATCCAGCAGAAAGATAATCAGCAGACCGGAAACCAGCGGACAGGAATGCAGAAGAAAACGAGGCAGAGAGGGATCAGAGACACGGACCAGCTCCAACCCAATGCCTCGCGACGCCCCTTGCACGAGCGACACCTCCCTCGCCGTCGCACTGCCGTCGCGAAGCGTCGCAAGCGATCGACTTCGAGCATCACGCGGCCTAGCTAGTGTCGTCGCATCGACTGCGCTCCAAGAAACGTAGTCTCCTGAAGCGGCGGACCGCGAGAAAATGGAAGATAACGACGAGATAGTACCAACGCCGGCGGATATTTCGGGAAATAATTGCACGTGAGCGACTCGGCCAAAGGAGACGGTGGACGCCGAGGAACCAACTTGAAGGCGCTGATTAACAGAGATCGCAGTGGAAACACGAGATGCCGCGAATGATACGATTCTACGGGCCATGGCTGGCAGTGCTGCAAGCACAGTTCAATAGGTTCCCGTACGCGCGCCGGTAGCTTGGAGGTGCAAAACGATCGCAATTAAACTCGCCTCATCGCAAGATTCTCTACATCAGTAGGCCCGCGTTTCGGCGCCCTCTTTCCAGTGAGCGAGTCATTTTATGGAGTGCTCAGCTCGAGATAACGAACACGTGGTCGTGCCAGGGGCCATGGATTGTGCTGTCAAGATGACTCCACGTTTCATGCTCATTATCCGCGGTATAACGCTACGCAGAAAGGCCCCACGATTATTGATATATCTGTACATTAGGTTTAAAGTGTTTTGTGCTCTACTGGCGTAATTCACCAATTTCTCACAATTCGGTGGCGGTTGGTGGTGTTTCAAGCCAGTTCCTCTGTGCGCGTCAACGCTGACGCCACCAACGCTGGCTATGAGGTCAGGAAGAAGCGCCACCGCAAGAGGAAACCCTGAAGGTCCCTGAGAGTCAGCCCCGTGAGTGTATCTGTGTGGTCAGCCGACCCTCGCCACGTCGGACAAGTAATCACTCTAGAAGATTTCCACACCACACAGAACCACAGCTTATCGCGTCGCCATATCGCAGCCCACCAGCCTCGGAAATTCCCGCCAGAGGTTTTTCCGGCCTCGATATTTTCCCAACTCACCATCTCGAACCCAACCATCCCATGCCTCATGAAACTGTTCCTGTACACCGTCCAATCCCTTTAGATTCCATATCAACCTAGTGGAAATCAATGCCTGACAACCAAATACAGGCCTCGGCACAACACAACACCTTCTGTCCAGCAGAACAGAACACATCCCAGAAGCAGACCCACCCACCTCGTAGTCTCGAAATTGCCGCTAACTGTTTTGGGTCTGCTGTATCCATGCCAAGTACATAATCCACCATTTCATCACACATACCTTTTTCCCACATACTGTAATCCTTCCTGCTCTAGCGCTCGTTCAGGCCTTGTATTGCTTGCACACACAGCTTGCGTCAAACTCGCCTTCCACCGTGTTATTTCGTTTAGTTTTTGGTAGTTATCGTCGTAGTGGCTGTCTCTAGCCTTAGTTTCCAGGAGCTGCATCCCAATGGCGCCAACAACAGAGTACGTCCTCCTCCATGTTGTTTCTGTTCGCCTGTGAAGACGCTGCCTGGCACGCCTTAGCGTAACCCGCTTGAACGATAGTGAATAGTTACGGATGCATATTCATATGACACGTCGTTAGGCTGAATGTAGTTGAAATCGTTGTTCCGCTTTTGCGTTGATTCAGTTCAGAAACATGAATGGTGTCATCTCGCCACTGTTACGGATTTCTCTGACCAGTTTTCATGTTTGACTTCCATATTACTGCAGGAATGGTGTTATCTCGCCACTGTTCACACTAGAAGAAGACTCTGAAGCGACTGTGGTTACTCAGTCGGAACCAACCCGCGAATTTTCCGCGCCTATCACAACTTGTTTCTTCGGTAAGCCGTAGCCGTTCAGCATCTGCGTAGGGATACTTACTAAAAAACCTGCTTCTCGATGAAGCATCGCATTCTTGTAGTAATTCCCGTACCACCCAACCATTGTGGCCCCATCGTCGGGCAACAACTCCTTCAAGGAGTTCGTTCATGTTACAAGTGTTTGCGATTGTGCATTGCCAACGTGTGAATCGACGTGTTTTCAATCTGTGCTGCAGATTTGGATGACACTCTGTATCCCAGTAGCGCTGGTCTCGGCCCAGCGTGTGTGAAGAACATCGAAGGTATGATTATTGACGAGATCGCTCCCAGCTTACGAATTCGTCATTTTGCCCGATTTACGAAGCAGATATCCTCTTGCGCATTGTTTTGGGTCCTGGCTCATCTTAGAAAACTAGTGAAGCCATGTGGTTATCACATTGATTCGCCAGCATTCCCTCTCCGCCCCCTCTCTCTATTCCGCCTTTCTTCCCGTCTCAGATTACATGGTTCAACGCCTGTGTTTCGCAGCAGACACCGCAGGCGAGGAGGCCATCAGGCTGTACAAGGAGCATGGCACCTCCATGGCTGGTCTCCGGGTAAGTCCCAACTTTGATAGGTCGCAGGATCGATGGGCGTAAGATCTGTCGCCAGCAAGTATTAGTCCAAAGTCTGGCACATGCGCTTAGGCACACAGCTGTTAGTGGGGGCTGCTCAGAGGTAGGCTGTGTCAGCAGTGTGGCAAGCAGCAAGTTACGGATTCTTGAAGTAATGCTTCAGTAACAAGATGGAGGGATATTGTTGTGCCAAATATTTATACGTTGAGGGAACATAGACATATGATGTGACGCTGTCACCATGGTGTTACAGGCGATTGCACGTTTAGATGGTGCGATACCCTTGCAATAGGTGACTCCAGCTGATTTTGACCACTAATCAATAAGCACTGATGGTCTGAATCAGTATGCTATCCACGTGGGCTGCAATGGACTGTGCCGAGCTGACATTCTCGTTTTAAATTTGTGTTGCAGGCAGAAGGTTACGCCTTCGACTTTGATGACTGGCACGCGTGAGTTCAAACCTCCTTTGCTTCTAGAAGCAGTAGTACCACAAGTTACTGCAGGTCACATTCGTTCAAGATGCCATATCCATCCAGGAGCCTTTTGGTTCCCTTTTCTTCCATCTGCAATTAGGAGCTCGTGTTTGCGCTCTGTTTCGTGTCTAAACTCATTCCACCTCCCATTCTCATGCGGTGCTTATGCGTTTGCGACTGTGAGTTTGCACCATCGCCTTCCTCATTCGCGCCCCCGTCCTCATCCCCCCTCACGTCCTCATCGCCCCGCCTTCCTCATCTCCCCGTCTTCCTCGTCACCCCGCCTTCCTCATCCCTGCAGGTTCGTTCACGGCCGACTGCCATACCACCTGCTGAAGCCAGACCCTGCCTTGAGGCACCTCCTTGATTCGCTTCCTCAACGCAAATTTGTATGTCCCTCGGTTTAGCAGCATCCGATCAGACAAAGCATGCGTAGTTCACAGTGGGCTGGCAGGAGCAATGGCATGGACTCCGGTCTCTGATTGCCCTCTTACATCAGTGAATGCAGTGGCTGCACGCCACTCACCATGCCTATCTGTATTGGTATCCTGCATAAGCAACTTCATAGCACGTGCACTTGCTCACCACATGCCACTGCTCACCAAATGCCGCTGCTCACCAAATGCCGCTGCTCACCACGTGCTGCTGCTCACCACGTGCCGCTGCTCACCAAATGCCGCTGCTCACCACATGCCGCTGCTCACCACATGCCGCTGCTCACCACGTGTCGCTGCTCACCACGTGTCGCTGCTCACCACGTGTCGCTGCTCACCACATGCCGCTGCTCACCACGCGCCGCTGCTCACCACATGCCGCTGCTCACCACGCGCCGCTGCTCACCACATGCCGCTGCTCACCACATGCCGCTGCTCACCACATGCCGCTGCTCAGTGTGGTGGGCCACCCCAGCCCATTCGCTATCACAACCTTTCACCCCTTCTTTTTCCGCAACTCCCGTCCTCCATCCTTCCACCTCCGTCCACCCCTATCCAACCCCACAGGTGTTCACCAACGCCGATCGCGCCCACGCCAGTCGCTGCCTGCACCTGCTGGGCCTGGAAGGGTGCTTTGACGCCGTGATTGCATTCGAGGACGTCATGGCGCACCACCCGTCTCTGCCCTTCTCCCTGCGAAACAACTTCCGCCCTTCATGCACCACCTCTGACATCCCTAACGTTTCTGACGGCTCTGACTGTCTTCTGGACTCCGACCGTGGCCTGCTGCCGTCCTCCCTGCCGCCCATTCCCTCCGCCTCCTCCACCGCCTCCCTCCCGTCAGCTAACCTGTCAGGCGATAGCAGTAATGGCAGCAGTGGCAGCAGCTCTCCAGAGCGATTGCTACCAATCAGTATCCAGGATCAGCAAGAAGGACCAAGTGAGCAGCAGCAGCGCGATTTAGAGCAGCAGGAATCAAAACAGGTGAACTTACCCCAGGTGCCACCTTTCCGCTGCAACAGCCGCCGCTGCGTCAGTGCAGATGCACTGGTGGAGCATGCTGCTGCTGCTCACCCTCTTGCTGCACACGCTCATCGTGACGTCGCCAGGCTAGCAGCAGAAGCAGCATCAGCACCAACACCAGCAGCAGCAGCTGCTGCAGCATCTGCAGTGGCACAGTCGTGGATGAGTCCGGCCGGACCACTCATCTGCTGCAAGCCCCAGGCTGAGGCGTTTCACCGCGCAGTGGTTGGCATTGCACACGCTGACCCGCACTCATCGGTACGTCCCCGCTGCTCCCATCCTCTCTGAGTTCCCGCTCTTTGCACGGCGTGCTGCTTGTGTGAAATCCCTCTTGCACCTTTTCCATGCGGTTGATGCTGACTCGGAACTCATTCGTGAGTATGCTGGTTCTTGTGCCTCGCTAGCTTCGCCGCTGTGACATCTGACCATTGGCAGTGGCAGAATTTACCTTTCTTTTGGTCGCAGCGAAGTAAGCCCAAAAGAAAGGTAGCGATGCCACTACTGTGTGGCACCACCTAACAAGACATGTTGCTTTCCAAACGACCCGTTGCACTCTAAACTGTCCTGCCTGATCCCATATGACTATTCCGTGTCTTGTGCTGCAGATATTCTTTGATGACAGCACTCGCAACATCTCAGCGGCCAAGAGATTTGGCATGCATACAGTTCTGGTATGTCCTGCTGGGCTGAACCCTTCTCACAACTTGAACCCTTTTTGCCTGTGCATTTTAGTACTACTTCTGTACTCACTTGATTTGACAGTTCCAACCTCCCGTTCTCATCTTCGCTCCCCTAATGCTTCCTTGGATGTGACTGGTGCTGTCACCTTACTAAAGAATGTCTCGTCATCCCTGCTTCATGATTCCTTGACGTCTGCCTGCATATGGTTTTCATTTCATGCAGGTAGGAACATCACAATCATCAGCAGGAGCAGATTATGTTATAGCAAGCATTCATGAAATGAAGAAGCGAATTCCGGCGTTGTGGAAAGTGCCTGAAAGTAATGAGACAGGCATAGTGACGGAAGGTGTTAGAGAGTCCCCATGCATCTGCCATCAAAGCAGAAACCTGGGCCTTGTGTTGGCATAACATGTGACTGCTCAATGCCTCACCATTATTCATGACTCGTGTCCCATGCACAGTCAAATGTCTGATCACTCCAATAAATGAAAGTTGCTCCCCCTCCTCCCACCGGCAAGTGCTGCTTGAGCATCCATACACTCTAGGGTACTGGTAGTGCATCTTGCTCTGCAGATCAACGTGCCATGCGTGTCTGATATTGAAGTTCTGCTCACATCCCGGTAAATGATTACTCTGCAATGGAGCAATGCATTACATTCGTAATATGGTAATAGCTCCGCTCTAGCAGTTAAATCAGTTTACCAGCCAGTCAAGAAGCAGTGCAATCCAATTTCCAGAGCTCTATCTCTGTAAACTCCTCAAAAGAACTTTGAAATTCACCTAGAATTAAACTGCTCACAACTCGCGATCATCATCTCTCTTGTAAAACTCATCATCTTCATCAAAGTCCTCGTCATCATCATCCTCCTCCCCCTGGGGGTCCGTGTCGTCAATGTCCTCATCATTGAAGTCCTCATCCTCCGGCTCCTCCTCCTCCGGCACATCCACTATGTCCACCAGCTCCGTCTCAAAGATGAGCGTTGCTCCACCTGGAAGCAGGTCAAAGGGAGAGAACAGGGGAAATGAAAGACTAGTGGTTCTCACCCATCACCTCCTCCTCCTGCACATCCACTATGTCCACCAGCTCCGTCTCAAAGATGAGCGTCGCTCCACCTGGCAGCGGGACAGAGGGAGGGGAGGGAAAGAAAGAGATTATTGGTTATCTCCTGTATCCTCCAGCATGTCCACTATATCCACTGCTCTGTTTCCAACATGAGCATTGCTCCACCTGGCAGGAGAGGTGAGGGAGGAGGGTTGCAGAGGGAAGAGGGGGAGAAACAGGGCCTTCTAATTTGCGAATTGGAGGGAAGAGGGTGGGAGGGAGGGGGGAAAAGAGCGGGATGCAAGTGAGAAAGGCCGTAACATTCAAACAGCTTTGAAATGTCAAGTCCTTTTGCACTCCTCGATATTTAAAGTGTTAAGTAATTGCAGTTGACAAATGCATTAAAACCAGTGAAACTGCGCACTTGGTAACATAGCAGAGGGAGGAGGGGAATGGAGAGAAGGGAGGGAAAAACACTGCGCCACATTTTTTCTAATGTGCAAATTGCAGGAAAAAAGGGGGTTGGGTGAAAGGGGGAAGGGCGGGATGCAATCAAGAAAGGCCGTGACATTTGATTGGCTTTGAAATGTCACGTATTTCTGCACTTCCTGGTTCTTTCAAGCGTTGGGTTAATGCATCAAATGATGGCATTTAGCGAGTGGAAACAACACAAATATTAACATCCAATATGGATAGCATCGGCAAAATCACGACTGTTTTGAGAGCAAGTGGACTCACCTGGAATCTTGGGAGGAGAGCCGTTCTCGCCATAGCCCATGTGGGGCGGGATTTTGAGCTTGCGCTTCTCGCCAATGCACATGCCGAGGATGCCAATATCCCACCCTGTCACGTGCGAGAGGGCCATTCAAGAGGGCGTGCAGAAAGACGTTGGTGCCACAGCAGTTGGACATAAATCAGGATCGCAACCATACTTCCACACAAAGGGTGCAATGCAACCAGCGCGGCTTGGCTATGGGGTTTCGCTTTCTTTGGCATTCAATCCCTGAAACTTTTCGGCACGACTGTGACCCCTCAACCTAGACCGCCTCTCGGCCTTTCATAAATCTGTCAAGTTGCGGGTTGTTTGACAGCCAGGAAAAACGCATTGTCCGCACTTTGACGACATTGCCCATGCCAGGGCGTCTCACCTTGATCAACCCACGCGAAAGCTTCTCACCTTTGATCACGTTGCCCATGCCAAGGCGAAACTCGAAGGGGTCATTGCGGTCGTAGCTGGAGTCGAATTTGGTGCCATCCGTGAGCATGCCCTGCACGCGCAACGTCAGCGTCGGGGATCAGGACATGATTAGGACACGTCAGAGTCAGGACAGTCAGGGTTAGGACAGTCGGGGTTAGGAAACGTCCGGGTTGGAAAAACGTCAGCCTCAGGGTTCAGAATAATGTCCGCGTCGGCAGCAATTAACGGCTTTTTCATTCTCTTCGCCGCTTGTTCCTGCACGGCAGCGTCTGACTAGAACCTTTGTAAATCTGAGCCGCGAATGGGAGTTCTTAACAATGGAGAGAGAGTTTACGAGGGAATGGATCTGACACAACAGACGGAGCTCTGGCTTACTTCGCCGCAGGCCGACCCATATATCAAGGTATTCAATCTAAGCGAAACGATTAGCGTTGGAGGGCCGCGATTCGCTTCCGTCATCTAGCCGTGCTACCAATCCACGTCAGTTCAACCGGTCGTGCTGCAAGCGTCAGCCCGTCTGGTTTGGGTAAATTAACCGTCCTCGAACTCACTATCAGGCCCCTTTGTTTGCTGCCGTCCGAAACAGTAGGTACTGGTTTGCCGATAGGTGTCGTCGATGACTTGTTTTCGCTGTACGATAGGTACCACTTTGCATAACTCGCCTGTAACGGCTCACTACTTGAACTCCCTACCGAATCCTTACTACTCACGAATGGCAGTTCGGTGAACCGAGAAGGAGCCGTGTGAGCTGAGTGTGCGATCCGCATTGCACAGGCCGAAATATACGTGTGTCCAACAAAGTGCTCACCTTGTAATGGACCTTGACAGTATCGAGATTCTTGGCCTTGCGCGGACAATCTTTGGGCTTAAACTGCCATCATGCACCACAGACAACGACGGATCAATGTCAGACCAGAAGTAATATCATATTATGAAAGTTCCGAACAGTGACCTCACGCATATCAAGGACACGCTAGAAAATGCGCGGGAACAGGTGCCGAAAAGAGCCTTGAATTCACCTTGACGCCGATCTGAAGCTGAGTCACATCCTTCTCGGTCTTCGCAGCCACTGCACAGAAGAACCCGTGACGATCGTGACCGCAAGTAAGAAAAAAAAACGGAGGGAAGAAAGAAAACAAGCAAATAAATTAGCATATACGGCTACTCACTCACCGCAAAGAGCGTAAAAAAGGAGCAGAGCTGCGCCAGATAGAAGGCGAGACGCCATAGCTACTGCGTTTTGGAAGGTTTCTAAGACTGCACAGATCCAATATGAAAAGAAATACTCGACCACCGCTAGGAAATAGATTCCTGCTGCTGCTGTCGGCTTCCAGTTCACATCCTGAAGGGTATCCCAGCTTGTACGTCTTCTGTGCGTTCTTTGCGGTCGAATTCGTTCTGTCGCGGTGCGAAAAAGTGAGCTTGTCTAAGCACTTTAAACCGTATGGAACCGTCCTGAGCCACGAAGCAAAATTTGTGAACGTACGACCTCCACCCCACACCCCTTCTAGGCTTGGATTCCAAAATCCAATGGACGTGGCTGGCGCCAAGCTATGACCCTTCGCGAAGGCACGGACAGATGACCAATCTTGACCGCTCATTTGCGCGGGCTTTAGAAACTGACGAGTGGTTTGGATGTCAGAGGGTCGTTCGGCAGTGATTGGACAAGCGCGGGCTTCTAGAGCTGTGCCCTAACTCTCTGCGAAAAACCATAACAGCTAACCGTTCAGTTCGCAAACGTCGCTGAGCCTTCAGCTGACATCAGTCGCCTCGTGTTGAACCACCACGACTTTCTACACCCACCAAATCCGTAAAATCTTAAATCTAGCACACTAAACCATTTTCCCAGACACCACGCTCCTCCACCAGCAATAATATTTGTCGGGTCATATTGACGTGTTGTGACGTGTCGTGCAGCGCGTTTCGCGTCACTGCATTTTCTCCTAGTCTTCTCACTGCACTTGATTCATCAGGAATTATCAGTAATCTCAAAGAGAAACATCTCCACCACCTAAACGCACCAAGAGTTAGTTCCAAATCAGTGCAACCTAGCGGACATACTAGACGTTGAATTCAGGAGTTTGTTGAAGAACCACTTGTTACGTATTCGAGCTGCGCGTTGTTCGCGAGTGGTGGGTCCATGGGGGACGAGTATCATGAATCCTCACTCACCGCGACTGAAGGCGGAGCGGCAAAGGAGAGCTTCGCGCTCACGGTGAAAAAGTAAGAGGTGCTCGTTCGAGACATGATATTCAATGAATTTTGATGAGAGAAGACTGACAAACAGTTGCCCTAGGAATGATTGGAATGTTAGATACCCATCTGGTGATTCGTGCAGTTTTGGTGTTGCAGCCGTACATCATTTCTGGCATAACAGTAGCAGTGTCGCAGCTGCAGCTCGTTATGTGGCGTCACAGCTGGTTCTCTTAATCTGGCGTTACATCTGCAGCGTTAACTCTGGTGCTACAGCTTCAAATGATAGTATCTGGTGCTACACCCGCAAACTCTTCATCTGGTATCGAATCTGTGCGTCTTTCTCGTCTCGCAGCAATTTCGAGAGCCTCCATCAGCGAGGATTCTCTCCCAACGACGCTGCAGCTCTGGCTCTGAAGATCGCCATGGGGAAAGGTCGGTGCACAGCGAATGTATGCTCCCCGTCTTGCATGCTCCCCGTCTTGCATGCTCCCCGTCTTGCATGCTCCCCGTCTTGCATGCTCCCCGTCTTGCATGCTCCCCGTCTTGCATGCTCCCCGTCTTGCATGCTCCCCGTCTTGCATGCTCCCCGTCTTGCATGCTCCCCGTCTTGCATGCTCCCCGTCTTGCATGCTCCCCGTCTTGCATGCTCCCCGTCTTGCATGCTCCCCGTCTTGCATGCTCCCCGTCTTGCATGCTCCCCGTCTTGCATGCTCCCCGTCTTGCATGCTCCCCGTCTTGCATGCTCCCCGTCTTGCATGCTCCCCGTCTTGCATGCTCCCCGTCTTGCATGCTCCCCGTCTTGCATGCTCCCCGTCTTGCATGCTCCCCGTCTTGCATGCTCCCCGTCTTGCATGCTCCCCGTCTTGCATGCTCCCCGTCTTGCATGCTCCCCGTCTTGCATGCTCCCCGTCTTGCATGCTCCCCGTCTTGCATGCTCCCCGTCTTGCATGCTCCCCGTCTTGCATGCTCCCCGTCTTGCATGCTCCCCGTCTTGCATGCTCCCCGTCTTGCATGCTCCCCGTCTTGCATGCTCCCCGTCTTGCATGCTCCCCGTCTTGCATGCTCCCCGTCTTGCATGCTCCCCGTCTTGCATGCTCCCCGTCTTGCATGCTCCCCGTCTTGCATGCTCCCCGTCTTGCATGCTCCCCGTCTTGCATGCTCCCCGTCTTGCATGCTCCCCGTCTTGCATGCTCCCCGTCTTGCATGCTCCCCGTCTTGCATGCTCCCCGTCTTGCATGCTCCCCGTCTTGCATGCTCCCCGTCTTGCATGCTCCCCGTCTTGCATGCTCCCCCGTCTTGCATGCTCCCCGTCTTGCATGCTCCCCGTCTTGCATGCTCCCCGTCTTGCATGCTCCCCGTCTTGCATGCTCCCCGTCTTGCATGCTCCCCGTCTTGCATGCTCCCCGTCTTGCATGCTCCCCGTCTTGCATGCTCCCCGTCTTGCATGCTCCCCGTCTTGCATGCTCCCCGTCTTGCATGCTCCCCGTCTTGCATGCTCCCCGTCTTGCATGCTCCCCGTCTTGCATGCTCCCCGTCTTGCATGCTCCCCGTCTTGCATGCTCCCCGTCTTGCATGCTCCCCGTCTTGCATGCTCCCCGTCTTGCATGCTCCCGTCTTGCATGCTCCCCGTCTTGCATGCTCCCCGTCTTGCATGCTCCCCGTCTTGCATGCTCCCCGTCTTGCATGCTCCCCGTCTTGCATGCTCCCCGTCTTGCATGCTCCCCGTCTTGCATGCTCCCCGTCTTGCATGCTCCCCGTCTTGCATGCTCCCCGTCTTGCATGCTCCCCGTCTTGGCATGCTCCCCGTCTTGCATGCTCCCCGTCTTGCATGCTCCCCGTCTTGCATGCTCCCCGTCTTGCATGCTCCCCGTCTTGCATGCTCCCCGTCTTGCATGCTCCCCGTCTTGCATGCTCCCCGTCTTGCATGCTCCCCGTCTTGCATGCTCCCCGTCTTGCATGCTCCCCGTCTTGGCATGCTCCCCGTCTTGCATGCTCCCCGTCTTGCATGCTCCCCGTCTTGCATGCTCCCCGTCTTGCATGCTCCCCGTCTTGCATGCTCCCCGTCTTGCATGCTCCCCGTCTTGCATGCTCCCCGTCTTGCATGCTCCCCGTCTTGCATGCTCCCCGTCTTGCATGCTCCCCGTCTTGCATGCTCCCCGTCTTGCATGCTCCCCGTCTTGCATGCTCCCCGTCTTGCATGCTCCCCGTCTTGCATGCTCCCCGTCTTGCATGCTCCCCGTCTTGCATGCTCCCCGTCTTGCATGCTCCCCGTCTTGCATGCTCCCCGTCTTGCATGCTCCCCGTCTTGCATGCTCCCCGTCTTGCATGCTCCCCGTCTTGCATGCTCCCCGTCTTGCATGCTCCCCGTCTTGCATGCTCCCCGTCTTGCATGCTCCCCGTCTTGCATGCTCCCCGTCTTGCATGCTCCCCGTCTTGCATGCTCCCCGTCTTGCATGCTCCCCGTCTTGCATGCTCCCCGTCTTGCATGCTCCCCGTCTTGCATGCTCCCCGTCTTGCATGCTCCCCGTCTTGCATGCTCCCCGTCTTGCATGCTCCCCGTCTTGCATGCTCCCCGTCTTGCATGCTCCCCGTCTTGCATGCTCCCCGTCTTGCATGCTCCCCGTCTTGCATGCTCCCCGTCTTGCATGCTCCCCGTCTTGCATGCTCCCCGTCTTGCATGCTCCCCGTCTTGCATGCTCCCCGTCTTGCATGCTCCCCGTCTTGCATGCTCCCCGTCTTGCATGCTCCCCGTCTTGCATGCTCCCCGTCTTGCATGCTCCCCGTCTTGCATGCTCCCCGTCTTGCATGCTCCCCGTCTTGCATGCTCCCCGTCTTGCATGCTCCCCGTCTTGCATGCTCCCCGTCTTGCATGCTCCCCGTCTTGCATGCTCCCCGTCTTGCATGCTCCCCGTCTTGCATGCTCCCCCGTCTTGCATGCTCCCCGTCTTGCATGCTCCCCGTCTTGCATGCTCCCCGTCTTGCATGCTCCCCGTCTTGCATGCTCCCCGTCTTGCATGCTCCCCGTCTTGCATGCTCCCCGTCTTGCATGCTCCCCGTCTTGCATGCTCCCCGTCTTGCATGCTCCCCGTCTTGCATGCTCCCCGTCTTGCATGCTCCCCGTCTTGCATGCTCCCCCGTCTTGCATGCTCCCCGTCTTGCATGCTCCCCGTCTTGCATGCTCCCCGTCTTGCATGCTCCCCGTCTTGCATGCTCCCCGGTCTTGCATGCTCCCCGTCTTGCATGCTCCCCGTCTTGCATGCTCCCCGTCTTGCATGCTCCCCGTCTTGCATGCTCCCCGTCTTGCATGCTCCCGTCTTGCATGCTCCCCGTCTTGCATGCTCCCCGTCTTGCATGCTCCCCGTCTTGCATGCTCCCCCGTCTTGCATGCTCCCCGTCTTGCATGCTCCCCGTCTTGCATGCTCCCCGTCTTGCATGCTCCCCGTCTTGCATGCTCCCCGTCTTGCATGCTCCCCGTCTTGCATGCTCCCCGTCTTGCATGCTCCCCTCCCCGTCTTGCATGCTCCCCGTCTTGCATGCTCCCCGTCTTGCATGCTCCCCGTCTTGCATGCTCCCCGTCTTGCATGCTCCCCGTCTTGCATGCTCCCCGTCTTGCATGCTCCCCGTCTTGCATGCTCCCCGTCTTGCATGCTCCCCGTCTTGCATGCTCCCCGTCTTGCATGCTCCCCGTCTTGCATGCTCCCCGTCTTGCATGCTCCCCGTCTTGCATGCTCCCCGTCTTGCATGCTCCCCGTCTTGCATGCTCCCCGTCTTGCATGCTCCCCGTCTTGCATGCTCCCCGTCTTGCATGCTCCCCGTCTTGCATGCTCCCCGTCTTGCATGCTCCCCGTCTTGCATGCTCCCCGTCTTGCATGCTCCCCGTCTTGCATGCTCCCCGTCTTGCATGCTCCCCGTCTTGCATGCTCCCCGTCTTGCATGCTCCCCGTCTTGCATGCTCCCCGTCTTGCATGCTCCCCGTCTTGCATGCTCCCCGTCTTGCATGCTCCCCGTCTTGCATGCTCCCCGTCTTGCATGCTCCCCGTCTTGCATGCTCCCCGTCTTGCATGCTCCCCGTCTTGCATGCTCCCCGTCTTGCATGCTCCCCGTCTTGCATGCTCCCCGTCTTGCATGCTCCCCGTCTTGCATGCTCCCCGTCTTGCATGCTCCCCGTCTTGCATGCTCCCCGTCTTGCATGCTCCCCGTCTTGCATGCTCCCCGTCTTGCATGCTCCTCCTCTTGCATGCTCCTCCCCGTTTTTTTTTTTTTAGATGTCGGTTCACACACCCTATAAACTCAAGGAGCAAAGCTCATGGTCTTAAACCTTAACCTCAAAGCTTCTCTTTTCTGCATTCCTGCTGCTGCTGACATACTCACTCATGCACACCCATTATCCGCCCCCATGCTTGGGTTGGGTTGGGTGGTCCCCCTGACAACGGAGCTGCTAGCAGCATTCTCCAAGGCGCGTGCCTGCAGAGTTTTGAGAAGTGTCAAAATGTTGAGACGCCTCAACAACCGTCTCAAAACTCTCCTCCCTCATGCTTGGCTTGGTGGTCGTGGTCCCCCCCACTCCAGGGGAGCTGCTAGCGGCAATCTCAAAGGCGCGGGCCAGCAGGGCAGCGAGGGCCAGCAGTGCAGCCCAGGACAGCCGCCACGTGGCAGAGCTGATCCCCAAGGTGCTGTCGTCAGCAGACGCTGTGAGCCTGGTGTTCCTAGCCATGCCGGAGGGGCTCTCCAAGGGCAACCTGCTGGGTGAGTGGGGAAATGCGGTAGTTAGGTGCGGTGGATAGATGAAGCGTAGGTGAGTGGTTTGAATGCGGTACGAGTGTGTTGGAGAGAAGCTGTGAGCCTGGTGTTCCTAGCCATGCCGGAGGGGCTCTCCAAAGGCAACCTGCTGGGTGAGTGAGGGGAAGGTATGAGTGTGTGGTGGATGAAGGAGTTTCGGGCATGTCTGGGATGGGAGTTGTGGTTGGGAGTGGAGGATGGACATGAGTGAGAGGAAAATCTGGGCTGGGCTTTCTCCTTTATTTCTCATCTTTTCCTGATGCCGTATCCTCTCATCCTTCTCCTGGTGTTCCATTATATCCTGGTGCACTTTTCACCTTATCTTTCAATTATGCAGCCATCTCCTCTTTGTGTCCACCACTTGAGCAGGCATCGACTCGGCGACTGTGAAGCTGTTTTACGACGGAGTGGCAAATCTGGTGAGTGCTTGAAGCTTTGCACATAGCACCGCAGCTCAGGAGTTGTCTGTGCTGCGCCCATTGCAATCGCTCTCTTGTGCTGCCTCTCCCTTTTTTACAACAAATATGCGCGCCCCTCCAAGCCAAAACCTCGTTCCTCAACACCACCACGCTCACCCCTCTCACTCACTTATTCACTCACTCGCTCAATCAATCAAACACTCATCTCACTCACTCACCACCACCACGCCCCCTCGCCCCCTCGCCCCGCACCACAGGGCGACGAGGTGGCTGGCAGCAGCAGTGGTGCGAGCGAGCGAGTGACCGGCTGCTCACAGAGCTCGCCCAAGCCATGCCCCCCGTGCCTTCCTCCACTCCCCACTTTCTCCGATCTCTCAAGCACTCACTCACCCTCTCACCCACGCCCCTCCCTCTCAACCCTCTTTTCTTCCCCATGCATCACAGGGCGATAAGGTGGCAGCAGCAGTGGTGAGAGCCAGCGATCGGCTGCTCACAGAACTCGTCCAAGCCATGCCGCCCCCCCCCCTCCTCCACTCTCTCTGCACTCATTTCAGCGCCCACTCAAGTTTCAACCCTCTCCTTTTCCCCCTCACCACAGGGTGACGAGGTGGCAGCAGCAGTGGTGCGAGCCAGTGACCGGCTGCTGACAGAGCTCGCCCAAGCCATGCCCTCTGCGCCTTCCTCCACTCTCGCCCACCACCTCCCCACCCACCCGCGACCCTCCCGTCCTCCTGCCCTTGTCTCTCTCCCTGCACCTGCCACTGCTACCACCGCTGCGACAGCTGCCACGGCTGGGAGAGAGAGGGATGATGCCACTGCCACCACTGCTGCCACCACTGCTGCCACCACTGACCCCACTGCTACCAATGCCACAACTGCTATGGACGTTGATACCCAACCTGCACTGCCGTCGACCGCCGCTGCTCCCCCTTCCGAAAGCCCGGCCAGTGAAGCCCCCACGGGTGCAGCAGCTGATGTGGACACAGGTGCAGGGGGGGCGGTGGGGGCAGGTGCAGCAGCAGCAGCAGCAGCAGCAGCAGCAGCAGCAGCAGAGGCAGCAGCGGCGGCAGCAGGAGCAACGGCAGGGGCGTCGGGCAGTGCGAAGAGGAAGGTGGACTCGCTGGCAGCGGCAGCAGCAGAGGAGGGTGCTGGGCGAGGCAAGGATGAGCCGTCGCCAGCTGTCATGCGCTCGCTGCTCTTCCTGCTCGACGTGAGTCACGCGGTCCCAGCCGACATGCCCTGTGCCCTGCTTGCTTCAGAGACAAGGGCACGCCCCGATGATCGCAGCGCTGCTGCCCGCCAGGATGCTGTGTTTCGTCACGTCAAGTTCCTTCAAATCTGAGTTCTCTCCTCCTCTCACTCATCTCCCCAGAGTCCTTTCCTCATGGAGCCCGCGAACCATCCACTGTGCCGCCGCTTGTTTCTCAACAGACCTCTTGAACTATGTGTGCTTGTGCTTCTCCTGCCCCTCTGCCCCTCTGCCCCTCCCGACCCTCCTGACCCTCCTGCCCCTCCTCCCGCACACATCATCTCCCCAGATCCCTTTCCTAATGGAGCCCGAGAACCATCCGCTGTACCGCCGTCTGTGCAAGCTCCTGTTGAATCTGTGTTGCTTGTGCTTCTCCTGCCCCTCCTGCCCCTCCTCTGTCTCCTCCCTCTCCCCCCAGAGCCCTTTCCTAATGGAGCCCGAGAACCATCCGCTGTACCGCCGTCTGTGCAAGCTCCTGTTGAATCTGTGTTGCTTGTGCTTCTCCTGCCCCTCCTGCCCCTCATCTGTCTCCTCCCTCTCCCCCCAGAGCCCTTTCCTAATGGAGCCCGAGAACCATCCGCTGTACCGCCGTCTGTGCAAGCTCCTGTTGAATCTGTGTTGCTTGTGCTTCTCCTGCCCCTCCTGCCCCTCCTCTGTCTCCTCCCTCTCCCCCCAGAGCCCTTTCCTAATGGAGCCCGAGAACCATCCGCTGTACCGCCGTCTGTGCAAGCTCCTGTTGAATCTGTGTTGCTTGTGCTTCTCCTGCCCCTCCTGCCCCTCATCTGTCTCCTCCCTCTCCCCCCAGAGCCCTTTCCTAATGGAGCCCGAGAACCATCCGCTGTACCGCCGTCTGTGCAAGCTCCTGTTGAATCTGTGTTGCTTGTGCTTCTCCTGCCCCTCCTGCCCCTCCTCTGTCTCCTCCCTCTCCCCCCAGAGCCCTTTCCTAATGGAGCCCGAGAACCATCCGCTGTACCGCCGTCTGTGCAAGCTCCTGCTGAATCTGTGTTGCTTGTGCTTCTCCTGCCCCTCCTGCCCCTCATCTGTCTCCTCCCTCTCCCCCCAGAGCCCTTTCCTAATGGAGCCCGAGAACCATCCGCTGTACCGCCGCCTGTGCAAGCTGCTGCTGGACCTGCCGCCACTGCCCCGCCAGCAGCTCATCTGCACCCTCGCCAGGCGAGTATTCGTCCCGTGCATGGCGGCGCTGGTGCTGATGCATCATCACTCTCGCCAGGCAAGTGTATGCATCCCTTTCCCCACTCACGAGGCGACCTTTGAGGCACCTCAGAAGTCGCCGCCTGTGCAAGCTGCTGCTGGACCCCCAACTATATTCGTGTGACTTTTGAGAATTCTCAAAAGTCACACGAATATACCTTCCTCTGCTGCCCCACCAACATCTCATCTGTACCCTTGCCAGGCAAGTGATTGCGTCCCTCCCTTGCATGGCGTTGCACTGTTGCACCCTCGCCAGGCAAGTTTCCATCCCTTCCTTGCGCCTCTCCCCAGGCGAGTATCTGTCCCTTTGCATGGCGTTGCACTATTGCACTGTCGCAAGCACCAATCCTGATACCCTTGCTCCCTCCTCCCACGAGCATCCGCTGCAGTCTGTTAGGTCCCTGCAAAGGCACCACTCTTGCTATACCTACTCCTCCCCTTCATCCCTGCAAGCTTCTACAAGCACGGGCACCTAAATTACAGCACGTCATCACCATCCATGCTTCCCACCCTCCTCTCTCCTTCCTCCCTCCCTCCCTCCCTCTCTCCCTTTCTTCCTGACTGCCTCACTCCCTTGCTGTCAAAGGGAGGAACAAGCTCTTCACCAGCTCCCCACAACCAAGCAGTTTCGAGCGCGGGCATCTACAGCAGGTGATGGAGACGGTCGGGCGGCGCAGCACGTGATCACCATCCATCCCTCATTCCCTCCCTCCCTCCCTCGCTCCCCTGCTTCGTCCTTCCCCCGCTTCTCACCACCTCTTCAAAACCAAGCAGCTACGAGTGCGCGCATGCGCATCTACAGCAGGTGGTGGAGACGGCACTGCATGTGATCACCATCCAGCTGTACGAGGCCCACAAGGGCAGCAATGTGTGACCGGTGGCCGCCATTCCCAACTGGCTTTACTCCTCCTTACTCGCTGTACGAGTGCGAGCACAGCACACTCCAACAGCCCATAGACAGGAACACAAACACCAATCCCAGTGTCCCTGCTCCTTATTCTCCTCTCCCCCCCACGAGCAGCTACGAGCGAGCGCACCTACAGCAGGTGGTGGAGACGGCACAGCATGTGATCACCATCCAGCTGTACGAGGCCCACCGCCTCGTTGACACTGTCAAGCTCGCCACTCGTGTGCTCGGGATATTCTGTGAGTGCTGCTCCTGCTGCTGCTCTTTCTGCTGCTCCTCCTCCTGCTGCTGCTTCTGCTCCCGCTGCTTCTTCTCCTGCTTCTGCTGCTATTGTTGCTTCTGCTGTTGCTGCTGCTGCTGCTGCTGCTGCTGCTGCTAGTGCAACTGCCACTTCTCCTGCTGCTCGTGTTGTTTCTGCACCTGTTGTTTCTACACCTGCTGTTTTTGGTCCTGGCCCCACTTGTGCCTTGTGTGTCTTTGTGCTCTGACCACTGGTGGCAGTTGTGGCAAATGAGAAAGTCATCGGCTATTTTTTAGTCGATTAAAAAACAGTTTGTTTGACATCTCCAGATTAGGAGCAGGTTTAGCGAGTTGGAGAGACAGTTGTAAATGAGAAAGTCATCGGCTATTTTTCGAGTCGGCTTAAAAAACAGTCGCAGCAAACGAGAAAGGCATCAGCTGCCACACTCACCCTGTCCTCTGCCCTCTGCTCTTCAATCTCCATTCACCCTCGCACAACTGTGCCTTGTGTGCCTTGTGCACCTGCTTGTGCCCCTGCTTGTGCCCCTGCTTGTGCCCCTGCTTGTGCCCCTGCTTGTGCCCCTGCTTGTGCCCCTGCTTGTGCCCCTGCTTGTGCCCCCACCCCCACCACTGGTGGCAGTCGCGGCGAACGAGAGGGGCCATCAGCTGCCACACTCGGCGTTCTACAACGATGCCCTCAACAGTGACGAGTTTGTGGACCTGGAGCAGGACTACAGCAAGTGGAAACACAGAGACAGGTGGGTGCGGTGGAGTGGGGTGGGGTCTGGTGTGGTGGGGAGGTGTGCAGTGCGGTGGGGGTGGTGGGGCGAACGAGAGGGGCCATCAGCTGCTGCACTCTTGCAACGACGCCCTCAACAGCGATGAGTTTGTGGACCTGGAGCAGGACTACAGCAAGTGGAAGCATCGCGACAGGTGGGTGGGGTGGGGTGGGTTGCAGTGCAGTGGGCTGGCGTGGGGTGCGCACCTGTGGCGAGCCTGTGGACCTGGAGCAGGACTACAGCAAGTGGAAGCACCACGACAGGTGGGTGCGGTGGGGGGGGCTAGGGATGGGATGGGATAAAAGGTCGAACAAAGGAGGTGAGAGAGGCAGCCCATCAACAGAGCATCTAGACCTCTTCACTCTATGTGAGCATCCATACATCCTCGAGGCGGCCAGCAAAGCAGCAGTGCTGCAGGTGGAGTCGCGGGTGGAGATGTCCCACCGCTTCCACGATGCACTGCTGGGCATGGCGCTGAGGGCGCACCCGCACATAGCAAACCTTGAACTGCAAAGCAAGATGCATGTACCGCTGTGCAGATACTTCTTCACTCCTTCTCATTTCCCCCCTTTTCCTTTCAGGTATCTGGATCCCTTCACCCTGTGCGAGCACCCATACATCCTCGAGGCAGCCAGCAAGGCAGCAGTGCTGCAGGTGGAGTCGCGGGTGGAGATGTCCCACCGCTTCCACGATGCACTGCTGGGCATGGCGCTCAGAGGGATGACAGGCGTGCACGTGGGCAACCCCTTTTGTGTGCTCATTGTTCGCCGTGATCACATTGTTGAAGACGCCATCCTGCAGGTAGGCGGCTGTGTTGGCTGCAGGTAAGGGGCTGCTATCATGCGAGAGCATGCTGTGCTGGACGCTCAGGGGCCTCACGGGCGCGCACATGGCGAACCCCTTCTGTGTGCTCATTGTTCGCCATGATCACATTGTTGAAGACGCCATCCTGCAGGTAGGGGGTGGTGTGTGTGTGCATTGAGAGAGAGCATGCTGTCCTGTCTCCCAGGTTCACTGGACGTGGGTGGGCCTCCCAGGGGGCACTCAGGCGCGCACATGGGCAACAGCTTCTGTGTGCTCTTTGTTGAAGACATCATGCGGCGAGACCACATCGTTGAAGACGCCATCCTGCAGGTAGATATGGGGTGTATTGAGAGAGTATGCTCTGCTGCCTTCGGGCCTCACCGGTAGATTCGATTCTGCAGGTGGTGTGATAGATTCGATTCTGCAGGTGGTGTGATAGATTTGATTCTGCAGGTGGTGTGATAGATTCGATTCTGCAGGTGGTGTGATAGATTTGATTCTGCAGGTGGTGTGATAGATTCGATTCTGCAGGTGGTGTGATAGATTTGATTCTGCAGGTAGCCATCCTGCAGGTAAGGGTGTATTGAGAGAGCATGATGATTGCTCACTTTCAGTTTCATTGGTCTCACCTCACGTGCTCAGGGGGCTTGCAGGCAGGCAGGCGCACTGCTTTCTGCACGCATACTCCTTGACTCTCCTTCCTTCAATTCAATCGCCCTTTTTCCCGTCCTGTCCGTTGCTCTTTCCTCTCCTCTCTCGCGCTCGGCGCGGTGTCATCTTGGTTCGCTCTTTTCTTTGTTTCATACTCGCTTTCCTCTTCACTCTCTTCCTCACTCTCCCGCTCACCCTCACCTTACCCTTCTCTCCATACTCTCCTCACTACTCTCACTCCTCTCCCCGTGCGTGCAGGTGCAACAACATGCAGGGGACTTGAAAAAACCGCTCAAGGTGAGACGCGTCACGCACAGTGTCATCCCACCGCCCTCCTTCCTTCACACCTATCGTTCGAGTCTCAATCTCACAACCCTGATGGCAAGGCAACTGTTGCCAAAACCCTGGTTTCACCGCCCTCGTTTTAATTCCTTCCAAATGTGGCCTCAAATGTGCACCTCACGCCCCCATATGCACCCTCCCATATCCCCCCTGGGGGAGAGCAGGTAAAGTTTGTGGGCGAGGAGGGGGTGGACGAGGGCGGTGTGCAAAAGGAGTTCTTCCAGCTCATCATGCGCGACATTGTTGACGCTAAGGTACGTCTTTTGTGGTGCTCTATGTACGCCTCAACTCAACCGCCTCCGCCTCTAAAGGGTGGCATGCAAAAAGGCGGCTCAACCTGGAAGGAGCAGAAGGAGTTCTTCCAGCTCGTCATGCGCGACATTGTTGACGCTAAGGTACGTCCTTTCATTGACGCGCCTCAACCTCACAAGGTGGTGGCAAAGGGAGTTGCCGAACCGAGCGTGGTCAGGTGGCGTGCAGAAGGAGTTCTTCCAGCTCGTCATGCGCGACATTGTTGACGCTAAGGTACGTCTTTAGAGGCACCCCACCACACCACACACACCTTTGATAAATTCATACTGTGTGTTTGGTCTCTGGAAAGGGCCTCATTGCAAAAAGGGCCTCCAGCTGCATACCTCTTTTCGATGCAACACGGCGAATCGTAAGCATTCCTACTCGAATGCTCCTTCAATAATTAGCAGGGTCGCCAGGGTCTTGGTGCACAGCGCATTCACTCACCTGGCCCTCTTACCCTACTCTGCTGCATATCGTTCAGGTTCCCTCCTTCCTTCCCCCCGGTCTTCTTTCCAGAATTGAGCAATTATCGAGTGTTTTTTGAGAATTCTCAAGTGTTTTTTCAGAATTCTCAAGTGTTTTTTGAGAATTCTCAAGTGTTTTTTGAGAATTCACAAGTGTTTTTTTAGAATTCTCAAGTGTTTTTTTAGAATTCTCAAGTGTTTTTTGAGAATTCTCAAGTGTTTTTTGAGAATTCTCAAAAAACCCCCCTCTCTTCTGGCCCAACCTCCTCCTCATCCCCCACGCGTTCCCGGCTGCAGTTTGGCATGTTCACGTACAGCGAAATAACCCGCTCCTTCTGGTTCAGCGCATCACCCATCTACATGCCACTCGAGTTTGAGCTCGTCGGCACCGTGCTGGGACTCGCCATCTACACCCACCCCACGCAACACCCTCATTCCATCCATCCACACGACCCCCTCTTCTCCTCCCCTTCATTTTCCCCTTCCCCTTCCCCTTTCCCTTAACCCCAACACAATGCGCCCCCCCCCCCGCCCCGCCCAACCACCTCATTCCTCCATGAATTCTCATTCTCCAATCCGCAGTTTGGCATGTTCACGTACAACGAAACAACGCGCTCCTTCTGGTTCAGCGCATCACCCATCGACATGCCACTCGAGTTTGAGCTCGTCGGCACCGTGCTGGGACTCGCCATCTACAACGCCCACATCCTCGATATAAGCTTCCCCCTTGTTGTCTACAAGAAGCTCCTGGGGAAGAAGACCTGCCTGGACGATCTAGCCGGAGTGAGTTGCCCGTCCGTCCCGTTCCTTTTCCAATGTCCCTTTTCCCCTTTTTTTCTGCACCCCTTTTCCCTGCACCCCTTCTCCCTCCGCCCCTTCTCCCGGTGCCCTTTTGTCGTGCCTCAGTCGTATGGCCTGTTTCCACGAATCTGGGGGGCATTTTTTCGATAGGGTATGCTGCATTGTGGCTGTTAGCTGAGCCACCAATTCTAGGCTAGTTGAAGCTCCCATGGGGAAGGCGAACCTCTCGTGCCCATGTGTGTCCCCGACCTGTCCCCGACCTGTCCCCGACCTGTCCCCGACCTGTCCCCCACCTGTCCCCGACCTGTCCCCCACCTGTCCCCGACCTGTCCCCGACCTGTCCTCGACCTGTCCCCGACCTGTCCCCGACCTGTCCCGGACCTGTCCCCGCACCACCATTGCAGGTGGACCCGGACCTGCATCGAGGGCTCAAGGGGCTGCTGGCATTCCAGGGCAACGTTGAGGTGAGCCCTGGCAGGTGCGGTGCACACAGGTGCAGGTATGTGCAGTTAGGTGCAGGTATGTGCAGTTAGGTGCAGGTAGCTGCAGATAGGTAGGAGCAGGTGAGGGCAAGGGGAGGAGGGGAGGTGGGGGGAAGGTGGGGGGGAGGTGGGGGGGAGGTGGGGGGGAGGTGGGGGGGAGGTGGGGGGGAGGTGGGGGGGAGGTGGAGGGGAGGTGGAGGGGAGGTGGAGGGGAGGTTGTGCATGCATCTTGCATCAACGTCATGGCCATCGACCCTCTCCACTTAAGGCCTCATCCCCCTTCCCTTCCTCCCCACCACACATGTGTCAGGAGGTGTACTCATGGTGCTTCAAGGCGTCTTACACGCACGTCTTTGGTTCGCCCACCATGCTGCCACGCATTTGCATGCTGCAAGGCATTTGCATGCTGCAAGGCATTTGCATGCTGCCAGGCATTTGCATGCTGCCAGGCATTTGCATGCTGCCTGGTTGTAGAGTCTGATTCTGCTCTCCTTACCCTCTTCCCGCACACGCGCATGTCAGGAGGTGTACTCATGGTGCTTCGAGGCGGTTCCTAAGAGGTGCACGTTGTCTGGTTTGGACACCTGATAATGCGCTCCTCCCCCCCCCCCCCCCCCACGGACACACACCCTCAGGAGGTGTACTCGTGGTGCTTCGAGGCGTCGTACACGCACGTGTTTGGCTCGCCCACCACGCTGCCAGGCATATGCATGCTGCCTCGTTTCGGCCGCTGATTCTGCTCCCCCCCCCACCCTTCCTCCCCCCCCACTCGCACATCAGGAGGTGTACGCGTGGTGCTTCGAGGCGTCGTACACGGACGTGTTTGGCTTACCCACCACAGTGCCGCTCAAGGACGGTGGCGAGAGCCTTCCCGTCACCAACAGCAACCGGGAGGAGTTTGTGGAGCTGCTGGTGGACGTGAGTACAGAGATTCAGGTTTAGGCTTAGGGGCAGGACGGTCAGGACTGGTGAGGACGGGTCAGAAGGGGTCAGGAGGGGTTAGGAGGGGTGTGGGCAGGTCAGGGCGGGTCAGGGCGGGTCAGGGCGGGTCAGGGTGGGTCAGGGTGGGTCAGGAGGGGTCAGGGCAAGCTAGTGGAACGCCAGTTTGACCCATACTCTCGTACCCGTCTCTTCCTCCTTCCCCCCCTTCACCTTTCCCCTCTTTCCCTGTCCCCACGCGTCACCTCAGTTCCATTTAAATAAGCTGGCGGAGAGAAAGTTAGGCCCTTCTCCCACCACTTTCTGCGCCTCTCATATCATTGACTTGCCCCCCTGTCCCCTCCTCCTTCCCGCTCTTTCCTGGCTGCCCCCTCTGCCCCACCGCAGTTCCATCTGAACAAGCTTTTGAGTCGACTCAAAAGCTTTCCTGGCTGTCCCCTCTGCCCCACCGCAGTTCCATCTGAACAAGCTAGTGGAGCGCCAATTCGGCCCGTTCTCGCATGGCTTCCTGCACCTCCCATTCCCTTCTCTACCCACCCCGGCCCCTCTCCCCACCTCGCCCCCTGCGTCTCGCAGTTCCATCTGAACAAGCTAGTGGAGCGCCAATTCGGCCCGTTCTCGCATGGCTTCCTGCACCTCCCATTCCCTTCTCTACCCACCCCGGCCCCTCTCCCCACCTCGCCCCCTGCGTCTCGCAGTTCCATCTGAACAAGCTAGTGGAGCGCCAATTCGGCCCGTTCTCGCATGGCTTCCTGCGCCTGTGCGGGGGGCGGGTGCTGAAAATGTTCCAACCGGACGAGCTCGAGTTGCTCATTTGTGGCTCCCCTGTGTTCGACTTTGATGAGCTGTGAGTGTTGCTCATACTTGTTTGGTCGGTTGGTCGGTGCTATACTTACCTAGTGGTGCGGTGCTATGCTTGCCAAGTGGTGCGGTGCTATGCTTGCCAAGTGGTGCGGTGCTGCGCCTCTTCCAACCAGACGAGCTCGAGTTGCTCATCTGCGCCTCCCCCGTCTTTGACTTTGATGAGCTGTGAGTGCTTTGAGTTGGGAGTTAGGTGCTCCGTCACAGGGCATAGATTTGTTTGTGGTTGGGTGGGGTTGGCGCTGTGATTGGTGCTGCGCCTGTTCCAACCCCGGACAAGCTCGAGTTGCTCATCTCATGTGCGGCAGCCCCGTGTTTGACTATGAGGAGCTGTGAGTGAGTGCCTGTGAGCTGCAGGGTGTTTTTGAGAATTCTCAGGGTGTTTTTGAGGATTCTCAAAAACACCCTGCAGCATGTTGAGAATTCTCAAAAACACCCTGCTGCCTCATCTGCTGCAGCCCCGTGTTTGACTACGAGGAGCTGTGAGTGAGTGCCTGTGAGCTGGCTCGGAATGAGGTGCATCGTTGCAGGCCAAGGCTGTGTCCGTGGATGGTGTATGGTGTCTGGCTCTGTGTCTGGCTCTGTGTCTGGCTCTGTGTCTGGCTCTGTGTCTGGCTCTGTGTCTGGCTCTGTGTCTGGCTCTGTGTCTGGCTCTGTGTCTGGCTCTGTGTCTGGCTCTGTGTCTGGCTCTGTGTCTGGCTCTGTGTCTGGCTCTGTGTCTGGCTCTGTGTCTGGCTCTGTGTCTGGCTCTGTGTCTGGCTCTGTGTCTGGCTCTGTGTCTGGCTCTGTGTCTGGCTCTGTGTCTGGCTCTGTGTCTGGCTCTGTGTCTGGCTCTGTGTCTGGCTCTGTGTCTGGCTCTGTGTCTGGCTCTGTGTCTGGCTCTGTGTCTGGCTCTGTGTCTGGCTCTGTGTCTGGCTCTGTGTCTGGCTCTGTGTCTGGCTCTGTGTCTGGCTCTGTGTCTGGTGTGGCAGTTTTCCAGCACACCTCAGCTTACCTCCACACCACAGAGCTCGGATTCACACCAGTTGGTAAAGAGAATCAAAACAACCATCCTACTCGGGTGCTTGGACATGTGGTGCAGGGTGGACATGTGGTGCAGGGTGGACATGTGGTGCAGGGTGGACATGTGGTGCAGGGTGGACATGTGGTGCAGGGTGGACATGTGGTGCAGGGTGGACATGTGGTGCAGGGTGGACATGTGGTGCAGGGTGGACATGTGGTGCAGGGTGTTTTTGAGATTTTTAAGAACACCTTGAGAATTCTTAAAAACACCCTGCAGCTTACCACCACAGAGCTCGGATTCACCAGAGCAAAAAAGAAAAGAATCAAAACAACTATCTTATTCGGGTGCTTGGACATGTGGCTTGCCTCCTTCCCACCCTTAGCGGACCAGACACTTGGCTTCCAAAACTCATTCTGCCTCTGCTTCATGTTCCTGCTGTGCTGTACTGTTTGTTCCGTGGTGTTGCTTGCATTGCATGTGTGGCCACCTGTGAGTGCAGGGAGAGGAACGCGCGGTATGAGGATGGGTACACCAAGGAGTCGCCTGTCATCAAGAACTTCTGGAAGGTATTATGTGTGCATGCACTGCCTAGGACTCGCCACCAAGTATAGCGTGGTATGAGGATGCACGGTGCACGGTATGAGAGGAATGCACGGCATGAGAGGAATGCACGGCATGAGGATGGGTACACCAAGGAGTCTCCCGTCATTAAAACCTTCCTCATGAGGATGCACGGTAATCCATGAGGAAGGTAATCCATTGCGGTCTGATGTTTAATGCTCTTTCATGTTACCATCTATGCTGTTTCATGTGAGCATGCACTGACTAAGACACACCACCCTGCTTGTATTGCGCCATCATGACTTCTCCTCTCACCTATTGCAGGGATTGTGTGTGTGCGCGCGCATGGTTCACTTTCACTCACCTCATTGCTCCTCGCGTTGGTCAATCTCCTCTCACCACCACCTGTCAACCTCACCTCCCCCCGCCCACCAGGTGGTGCATGGGCTGCAGGGCGCGGAGAAGAGGAGTCTGCTGGCGTTGATTCGTTCACACCTCCAACCCTCTCTTGCACCTCTCATTCCCCGCGCTAACCTCCCCTCTCCACCGCCCACCAGGTGGTGCATGGGCTGCAGGGCGCGGAGAAGAGGAGTCTGCTGGCGTTGATTCGTTCACACCTCCAACTCTCTCTTGCACCTCTCATTCCCCGCGCTAACCTCCCCTCTCCACCGCCCACCAGGTGGTGCATGGGCTACAGGACGCGGAGAAGAGGAGTCTGCTGGCGTTTGTGACGGGGTGCGACAGGGCGCCCATCAAGGGCCTCGCCTCGCTGCCCTTCGTCATCTCCCGAGCGGGTCAGTGTTGCTGCGTTGCTGGTGGGTGTGCATGTAGTGAGTGTGCTAGCCGGTCATGTGCATGTGCATGTGCATGTGCATGTGTATGTGCTGCGAGTTTTGAGACGTCTCAATAGTCAACAGGGCGCCCATCAAGGGCCTTGCCTCGCTGCCCTTCGTCATCTCCCAAGCCGGTCAGTGTTGCTGTGCTGCTGGTGGGTGCGCTTTTCGCGAGTGTGCTAGCCGGTCAGTGTCGCTGTGCTGCTGGTGTGTGTGCTTGTCGCGAGTGTGCCAGCCAGTCAGTGTGACCGTGCTGCGATTTTTGAGATGTCTCAAGACTCAACAGGCGCTCACAAGGGCCTTGCCTCGCTGCCCTTCGTCATCTCCCGAGCTGGTCAGTGTCGCTGTGCTATTATCGCATGTGCTCGTAATGAGTGTTCTTTTAGTGGCCATCTTTGTGTCGGTAGTGGTGGGGGTTGAGAGCTCGCCTTTGAGGTGACCTTTGAGGCGACCTTTGAGGTGCCTCAAAAGTCCTTGTGTCGGTAGTGGGGGTTGAGCTCGCCCTTGCTTGTCTCCTAGTCACAAGACTTACGTGTATTATAGCCATGGTTAGTCCAGCCGTACTGAGTGTACATTCAATGAGTCCAATACTAGTGAGTATGCTGCTGTGATCGAACACATACCAGGCATGCTATAGCGTACTTAGTAGCTCTGTGCTAATTGTCTCCCCCAATCACCCCTCAGCACCACCACCCATCATCCCGCACCACCTCCCACCCACCACCACCCATCAGGCCCAGACTCCGACCGGCTACCAACAGCGCACACATGCTTCAACCACCTGCTGTTGCCTGAATACTCTAACCTTGAAAGGGTGGGTCTTAGAGCTTTGTGAACAAGGCAAGACCTTGCACCACTCGGAACAAGGTGAGTCTGAAGACGTCTCAACACTGCCAACAGCGCACACATGCTTCAATTCAGCCACCTGTTGCTGCCTGAATACTCTAACCTTGAAAAGGTGAGCTCAAGGGCAGCGTGAACATAACAAGGCTCGAACCACTCCGAACGAGGTGAGTCTTGAGACGTCTCAGAACTGCACACACATGCGTCAATCAACCACCTGTATTGGTGCGACTTTTGAGAATTCTAACAAAACTACATGCTCAACAACCAAAAAAAACTTCTATGTGTGGTCAACACATAAGCGTCGACCACCTGCTGCCTTGAATACTCCAACCTCAGCAAGGTGAGTCTTATAGCTCTCTGACGAAGGTAAGACTTACCCACTTTAAATAACGGAGCGTCTTTAAGCATTGTCGACTCAGAAGTCTCTTTTTGCCGCTACACTCAACCGGGACAATTTGGTGAAGAGCGCAAACGTCCTCTTTTCACGCAAATGGTGTTTGCTCATTCCTCTTTAATATTTCATCCAGTGTACCATACACATGGGTTCTGACTTTGCCTTTGACATTGGGATTGTCACAGTCTGTTGCTGAGCTGCTCATGTGACTCGTGCTTTGGATGCTACCACTGCCATGCACTCACGTATAAACCATCCATGATACAATCACCATACGCTTCATTCATATGTCCGCCGTCCACGTATGTCCCTGTGCTGTGCTCCTGTTGCCTTCCTATGCTCTCATCCCATGCCACCATCTCTGCGCTTTATCATACAGCTGCAAACACGGCTACTGACGGCAATCAACAACTCACAGGGGTTCGGGCTCATGTAGGGTGGGAGAAGCAACAGCAGCATCGCATAGGCTGTCAGTCTCGTGTGGGACACCGTCTCTGCTCCTCATCCCATGCCGCCATCTCTACTCATCCTGCAGCTGCACGCGCAGCTTCTGACGGCCATCAACAACTCACAAGGGTTCGGGCTCATGTAGGGGAGGAGAAGCGGCAGCAGCATCGCTCAGAAAGTCAGACTCATGCGGGGCAAAGCATGCATCCGCCACAACGTGTGCAGGGGTTTGGATTCGTGTAGAAACAGCAGCAGCAGCGGCGGCAGCGGCAGCGGCAGCGGCAGCGGCATTGCAGAAGTTGACGCGTGCATGCAAGGCGAGGCATTTACAGGAGGCGCATGTAGACAAAGCATCCGTAGCAAACCTCAAGAACGCGTGCATATGCGGAAGCCGCAAGAGCATGAGGCACATGGGTCAGGAGGCCTCCTTGGGATTGCCACGTGTCCAACGACGTTCCCTCCTGTCCCTCCAATCCCTCCGCTTGTTGAACCATGCACCTGCAGCTGGGACTGGCTATTTCTAAGGCTGTTGGTGCTGTTGTTGTGGGCCCTTTAACATGTGCCAAATTGTGTAGATAAAATGTGTCAAATCAATTTGCCATGCACACTACGAGCAGCAATAAGCTTCTTCAAGATGAATTTTTTAGTTGCCTACAAAATGATTGGATTGAGAAAGCTTGCTTTCTGTTCCTTGTAATTTGGCATCGTTCTCATTACAGCTGGCATCGTTCTCATTGCAACTGGCTTATTACAACATATGCATCGTTCTTAAACACATGCTAGTACATAATTAACTATACTAGCTATGGAGCCATCAGTCCAAGTCACTGTGGTACGTTAGATGGTACTGGGGTGGGTGGTGGGAATGTTGAAAGAGCCGTTGAAAATAGAGAAACGTGGGTGGAGGGAAATGAACTCCAACCCACGGTTTTTGTAGTTGGAGAAGGGCGTTTAGCGCGCTTCGACGCTGCCAAATATTCGGTACAGGCAGCTTCGCTTTCACAATACACAATTTTGAAAAACACGAATGTGTTTAAAAATTATAATATTGAGAAAGCTTGCCTTCTGTTCCTTGTAATTTGGCATCGTTCTCATTGCAACTGGGGTCTCTGAGACATGGGGAGTGGGGGCTTTCGGTTGCGCGCGAGTGCCTCTGCATGCTGCTGTGAGGACAATGCATGTGTCGGATCCTGTAGGTCGCGGGAGGCCTTGATCAGAGGTTCGACGTATGGCGTGACGTACATCTCCTTTGCTGTGTCGCTTCGCCACCTGCCCATCCTTTTAAAAATCCTGTCTGGCACGCCGGTGTTTGCTGCTACGGTTGCTGCGCCCTTTCGGAAGGAATGCGTGCCGAGCTGCTGCTCTCCGAGTCCAACTTTTGTGAAGGCCTCTTTACACCAGTTCCGGATTGTCGTGAACGACGATGGCCTTTTCTGGCCCTCGTTGGCTGATGCATGGCTGAAAACGCGAATCAACGGCCCCTCCGATTGCGGGCCATAGCCAGCGAGTTGGATAAAGCGTCGGGTGCAGCGCACGGGACACCAAGGGTCCGCCGTTGCTGAGATGGGTATCCAGGTTCCATGGCCAGCATGGTCCGTCTTGGAGTGTGGTATGAGGATCCACATGACCTCGTCGTCAAATTGGATGTCTTGCCATTTGATGGCTACCAGGTCGGAGTATCGCAGAAATCCAGAGTACATGAGGATAGGGATCAACCCCTTCTGAAATTCAGCGGGATTGTCCGACTGCAGGTAGCTCGCGGACATGTCTCGGACTTGTTGGATCGACACGGGCTCCTTCAGACGACTAGGGCGAGGGCAGTGTCGTTTCGCAAAGTCACGTACTTGGGTGGTGAACGGCCCGACAGTCGGGCATTTGCCTCCGGTCATGCGATGGGCGAAGCTGACCGCTGAGCACGTGAGCTGCACTACGGACAAGGTCGCTTTGCGTTGGATTGCGTACACCAGGTATAGCGCGAGGGTCATGTCGGACGTGGGAAGAAAAGGAAGGTCCACTTTCGTGCAGAAAGCCCGAAACTTGGCCCAGTAGGGCTCGTATGTTCGAATCGTCGAATCGGCGCGAGATTGCGAGATCATGGTGATGAGTTGGTCATGTAGTTTCGGGAGCAAATCTGAACACAAGGCGTATTCATGATACATTAGTCGAATACCACTCGAAGTGCGATGATTGGGCTGTGCGGTAGTCCAGCGCCGGAGAAGGCAGCGGAGTGTGTTCCTTTTGCTAGGCACTGGCTACCGTGTGTTAGAGGGATGTGCGCGTGGACGTGCGATGCCCAGGTGCGTGGAACGGGTTGTAGGAGTGGCCACCAATTTGCCCCCGGCCAGTGTGGGACGATGAGTGTGATCGATGCGTGGGTTCGCTGTGCGTGGTGGAGGACGGCTGGAACCATGTGAGGGGGGGGAAAGACGAAGCTGTTTTCTGATGTCCACGCGAGCGAGAACGCATCGACTGCTGTGGCCTCTGGGCGGGGAATCTTCGTACAGAAGCGTGGCAGTTGGGAGTTGCGGGCGTTTGCAAAGAGGTCGATAGAATGGGGACCCCAACGACGATCCAGGATGCGGAACCACGGTGTCTTCAATGAGTAATCGTCGTGATCGACAATTTTGGAAAGCTCGTCGGCGTGTGAGCTTAGCTCATGCGGGATCCATTCGATGATCAATCGTGTTTCGAGCTCCATGCATGTCCGGATGATCCCCTTGCAGGTTGTGGTCAGGTCTGGACTTCGGGAGCCACCTTTTCGAAGGATGAAAAAGACGCCCTGGTTGTCCACCCGCACGAGTACATGTTTCTTCTGAATCTTGTTGGCGTACGTTTGTAGCGCCCAGAGAACACCTTCGATCTCCCTCCGTGTGCTGGACGTTGCTCGCAGCAGCTCTGGCATGGTCGCGCTGGCTTCTTCGAGGCCACCCGGGAATGTGGTCAAAGTGGCGCCCCAACTGTGAGAGCTGGCGTCGACATGGATTACAGCGTCGTAGCTGTTTCGGACGTGAAACGGTGCACCGTTGAATCGGTCAAACTCTTCAAGCCAGAAGTTGAGCTGACCACACTGCTTTTCCATGAAGGTGCGTCATTGATCACTTGCAACATGGCGTGGCTGAATGCGCGAGCTGTTGTACCAAGTGCGACGCCCATCGATGCGAGCATGCCTGTGACTCTGGCCACGTGGCGGACGGGGACTGGTCGGCATGCCTTGCTTGCGCTCAAAGCTCCGAATGGTGGCGTGCAGTGAGGCCCGTCGGTCGAGACCGATGGAGAATCGGCTGGTGTTCGTGTCCAGCTCCACACCCAAGAATCGCAGGTGTTGCGATGGTGACAGCTGCGATTTCTTTGCGTTTATCACCAAACCTGCTGCTTTAAGGTCTAGTATTACGCGATGGCATGTAGCTTGCGCGTGGGCTTTTGACTGGCAGAGGAATAGAATGTCGTCCACGTATGGTACTACTCGAGTGTCTTGTTCCCTCCAGCGTCGGGCTAGCTGCTTGATGAGCTGTGTGAAGACAAATGGGGCTGTCGCGAGGCCGAACGGCAATGACCGAAAGGAGTAAGTGCGCCCCTCAAATTCAAAGCCGAGAAACTTCCAACACGAGGGGTGGATGTCGATGTGGTGGTACCCGGATTTGAGGTCAATGGAGAACATCCAGTCCCCAACGCGTGCCAAGTCTGCCACGCGGTTGAGCCCTTCGTACTTGAATGTTGGGATGATCAAGTTGGCATTGACTTTTCTCAGGTCAAGAATGAGCCTGCATTTTTCTCTTTGCTCGACCACGTTGAGTGGACTGATACATGTAAGCTCCCATGCAGCCGTCTCAACCGCCGCTCCGGCTTCCGTGAGTTCTTGGATAGCGGTACGTGTGAATGTAGCATGCGTGTATGCTCCGGCGTGGTTGCGCTCACGGAAGGGCTGTGGTGGGCCATGGCTCCATGGAAACCAGTACCCCTTGGCGATTATGGAGAGGACGAGGCTGCAAGGGCACCATGAGCTCCACCACGCGAAGGTCGAGCGCAGCCGACCGCACATCGTGTGACGGTTTTGTCAGTGACCGCGAATTCGTACGGATCGCCATCGCGTGACACCTCGTATTGTCGTGCGCCTGTGCATTCGCGGCATGGCAATGAAATGGAACAGGGGGTCGCTTTCCTTAGTTAATGCATAAGCCTGGCGTGTGTATGCCTGCGCCAAAGATAACTCGACAAAAGCATGAACAATGCTGACGGTTTGCCGTCAGGCCATGGAAGCTTGAGCGAATGCATTGCACGCCAACCGGCGTATGGGTATGATCCCCCTCCGTTTCACAACGATATTGGCCTCCCTTCCCATGATGGGGTGTGTGAAGTTGTGTTTTTTTTTTTTTTTTTTTTTAAACAAAGCCTTCTTCTCACCGCACCTTGGCAAGCTCTTTCCCATGCTCTCTCTCCACACACCCCCCCCCCCCCCCCCCCCCCCCCCCCTTTTTTTTTTTTTTGCCTTGTCGTCCACTCGGTAGGACGCAGTTCCTGCCCTTGGTGTGTGGGGTCGGTGCTTGGGACCAGAATCATGCTTGTTCCCTTTCTCCTTTTCTCTCCCTCTCTCTTTCTCTCTCTCTTTCTCTCTCTCTTTCTTTCTCTCTCTCTCTCACTCTCTCTCTCTCTCTCTCTCTCTCTCTCTCTCTCTCTCTCTCTCTCTCTCTCTCTCTCTCGCTCAGTCCTTATTGTTATTTGGACATATGTATGCCTACCTTACTTGGGCCCATGCCCTTCCGCACGTCCCCTCTCTTGGGCTCCCAGCCTCTCCCCTTCTTTGTTATTGTTTGTTCTCATACGGTCCATGCTATTTCGTGTCCTTTGGGGCCTACTTCCAATAAAGCCAAGGCTGCCCATCCTTGCCGTATCCAGCGGCGGTGGTTCGAGTGAGGAACATGTGATGCATTTTCTCCTTCTCTTTCTCTTTCTCTTAATAGGTCGAAATCCTTCATCTCATGGGTCATACATTGCTATGTCAACTAGCATGCTTTTCATCCCATCAATTGGGGCATACGGGGGACCGAGAGGCATTCTTCCTCTTCCCCAAAGGTAGGCCCATGGCCCTTCCTTACTACCCTATCCTAGGGCTAGCCCATGGCCACCGCAAGCCCTAATAGGCTGCCCACGGTCTAAGCACTCGAGAGTGCACCGTGCATCACGCCCGATGGCTTGCTTAGCCATATCCCGACCCCTACACGACGGGTGCGGGTCTTTGGCCTCCC